AATTGTACGTAACAACGGAGTGATTAACGGTGGCGTGCGATGTGACGAATAACGCAATTATTGTTTCACTGCAAAAAATGTATTCAACCAAGAGGCGGCGCTTGAGGGCGTAGGGGGGGGGGGGTGGGGGTGACAGGAGGGCACAGTGCTCCCCACTTTTTAAGTGCCCCCAACGTGAGAACCCCTTTTTCTTAGGACAAGTGCTCCTTTTCCTTGTAAGAACTGCCCCTTGCCTTTTTTTATAAGATCCCTTTTACTTTCTCATAAATGTCCCTGTTCACCTTTTATAAATGCCCCTATTATGATATGATAAGGGCCCTTTGTCCTTTGCAATAAGAGTCCCAATCCCATTCTTATAAGTGCCCCTTTTCTATTCTCATAGGTGCCACTTTTCATCTTTGGTGAGTGCCTCTTTTTAGGTGGGAGAAATTTCCTTTTTAACCTCTGATGTAAGTGCCCTTTATTTACTTTGACTCGTGCCCCTTTTTCTTTTTAATAAGAACCCCTTCCCTTTCTCCTAAATGCAACCTCTAATAAGAAGTGGTTGTGGTGATAGTGGTGGTTATTTTACCTGACTGCTAAGAAAGCATAAATGCTTGTGAGTATTAAAGCAACCAGACGCCGGCGGTTTTAGGTCTTCTCCGAGGGACCTAGTAATGAGGATTAATGCCTTACCAAAGGGCAATAGCGCATCGCCTTGGTTTCGAACCCGGGTCACCGGATTACGAGACCACTGCTCTATCGACAGAGCTATCGAGCCTCCTCTTAGTGCCCCTTTATTATGACACGTGCCCCTAATTCCTTCGGTTACTCTTGTTATGAGCCCCTTCCCTTTTCAAAATGCCCCTTTTTACATCCAATAAATGCCCCTGTCAAAATATGATAGGTGCCATTTTCCATCAACAGATGCCCCATTTCCATTTCTGTTAAGTGTCCCTTTTCAGGTGCAAGAAGTGCCCCATTTTCACCTCTGATAATTGCCCTCTTTACTTTTAGACGTGCACCTTTTCTTTTCTAATAACTGCCCTTTTCCCTTCAATTAAGTGCCTACTTTGCCTTTCCTTGCACCCCTAATTCAAAGCAACGCAGAGCCCCCTTTTCTATAATTTTCCTAGAGCTCACATTAAGAGTTTTTATAATTATATTACTTATAAAAGAACTGTTCAGTCTCATTCATTTAAATAGATTGAGCCTAAACCTTATCAGAGTTTTTTTTTTGTCCTCTTTATAAGATACAATTTTTCGCACTGCGACCCCACAAATCTTTAAATTCTTGCTCGCTTGCTTCGCTCGCTGAACACTTAAAAATAACTATCACATCGAACTGATAGGTATGTTGCTCGAGCAGTATCTTGTACCACGTGAAGAGAGAAGTGAATATTGATGTCACAACAAAGTAATTGTATAGCCCAAAAATCAAACGATAATGAGTCTTTTGTATTGTTTTTCTTTCTTTTCTCTATGAATGTCAGAAATACATTATTGAAAATATGTGTGTCTTCTGTTAACTCAACAGTTCAACAAATATTTGTTTCTGGAGTAGTCAATTTTATTTATATTATAAATGAAAATTACCTTGAAAATATGTTTGTTAATTTGTTGCAAATGAAAATCAATAAAATCCCTGTGAAAGGGAAAAAGTATGTAAAACAAAAAATATTGATGTCATCCCTGGTATTGTAGTCACAATCCTGACGATGTAGGGGTATATAGCAATGTATACAAATGGTGTATGTTCACTTTAAGGTTGTCCTTTGTAGGTGCCCCTTTTCAGAAAGTGCCCTTTTTTATTGGTGCCCCCCCCCCGCAATTTGGAATATGCTCCGCCGCCCCTGGTTGAAGTTCTCTTTTATAGTCTCTTCCTCCATCCACACTCCCCCTCTCTATCTCTCTTGTTCTCTCTTCCTCTGTCATAATTTCTCTCAGTTTGTTCATTATTCGCTTAATCAAGTCTCATTTCCATTTGCAACTTGATTGATGTCATATTGTTTCGATCATTAAAGCATTAGAAAATATAATCTTATCATTCAATTCATTTCTCTCTATCATGTTTCCTCTATCTCTCTCGTCCCTCTCGCCCCTCTTACTCCCTCTCTCGTTCTTCCCCCTCTCTCCCTCTCTCTTTCTCTTTGTCTTTCGCAATATCTCTCTTTGTCTATCTTTGTCCCTCTCTCTCTCCCTCTCTCTCTCTTTCTTTCAGAGTGTCGCTTTCTCTCTATATCTCTCTATTCCTATCTATGTCTGTCTCTGCCCCCTCTCTCTCTTTCTCTCTATTTAAACTTGATTTCATTGTGCACCAGTTAACCATGAAAACTGCAGGTATGTTCCTATTGAAATAGAGCGTGCTCACAAATAAAAAGTCACCCCATTTGAACAAACAAAATGGCCCGAATTCACAAAGGAGGTTTGTCGACAAACCAAGGTTCGTCGACAAACCTTCTTTTGTTTCGCCAAACCTCCTTTAGTTCTTTACAAACCAGGTTTGTAAAAAGCGCGTAAAACGCGTCATATGACGTACGAAAACCAAGGTTTGTCGACAAACCTCCTTTGTGAATTCGGGCCAATATGTTTTGGTTGCGGTATTCAAGTTAATATGACATGATCACGTAGTACTGCCGTTCAAAGTCGAATTCATTTTGGACTAACCGATTTATCATTACGTTCATTCGAATATGTCCACTTTTCCCAATGATTTCCTTCAACAAAAACAAATCAAAGTGCGTTTTGCACAAAGTGGGACGTCTCCATATGTAAAAGATACTTGGGCGTTATTTGTACAAGTGCTCTCTCCGAAATGGCTTATACCTCTAGATCAAATGGAACTGGTGTATCTTGTATAAAGGATATAATGGCCTATGGGGCGAAAGCCCAATTGACCGAAGGCCTACGTGACCGAAAACCCAATATACGACATACAGTACATACATACAATTATGATCGCGCACACACATTTGGCTGTGATTGTCCTTGATTGTTAGTGGCTATCTTAGTGTTTAGGATCCCTTCAAATAATAAGTACAATACTTGTTTATCGGCCCCTAGGCATATCAAGTTTTATACTGCATTTTAGGGACTAATTCGGTAAAGTTAATTTTGGAGCAAAACAATATAGAACATAAGCTGTATATAAAGATTTAAAAAAAACTTGGGGTGAAAAATATGAAATCTAAAAATGAATAGCTTACTCTTCATTAATGACAAAATTCACACCATCTTGAATTAGATTAATTTATTGTGATTACGAGTTCATGATTAGAATTTGAGGGGAAAAAGCCAATAAACTCTTCGTATAAAGTGAGTAATATAATTGGCAGAAATAACGCATCTGTTCAGCTAAAAGTCCAATATCGAAACACAATTTTTTAAAAGTAATACTTGCCTAACAAAAAAACGTTGATCACAGACAAGTCAAGAAAATTTCCACAAAAATGTGTTACTGGATCTAGCCGCCCACTATTTGTTAGGCAATGTGTATTGTTCTTATTTTACTGGAAGAACCCATTTCAATTTGATATCTGAAAAAGATTGCAATTTGTTCTCCATACTGTCCAGCTCATCTCGCAAAACGTTATATAAAATGTGGGCACTAGTTTTCTATCAAATGCCTTGAAGAGTTTATCAAATATTTTTTCTCACAAAACTTTTTTTAATAGGGAGACAAAAGATACGTGACAAAAGCGGAAATCTAATGTTCATACTTCATTACACTTTTCAATCATTAAGATATAATTATACAACATACAAACTGTGTAAATATAAAATATATTAAACTCAAAGTACAAACAATATTTCGTATACAAACTTCTTTATGGATATAAACTTCTTTACTAAAAGAAAAAAATAGATTTTCATGAATCTAGCAACTGCAACACGCATACATTCATTTGTTTCTACAAACCTTATCTGTATTGCAACTACATAATAATGGTTCTTGTACATGTAGATGAAGTAACCTAAAACCTATTGTAGTAATTTGAAGAAACTTTTATCTCCAAAAGCAATTTTTTTCATAGGGCACCTTTAACGTCAGCAAAATTAATGAAAACAAAACTTCCACAGCAGACTGCTGCAATGGTGCATTTACAAAGTGTAAATTATGGATCTGTGTGCACAGGGGATTTTTTAAATTATTGATTTATTTTCTAATTAAGGGGACGTGAATGATGTGTCTTTTGTTAACCACACGCAGCCAAAATTCAACAGAGATAGTCAGCTTGTGGCATATTTATTCACATGTTGTTGTTTTTTGACAACCGACTGCGCAAAATTTTTTTTTAAAAGAAAATCATAATTTCATTATAAAAATCATAAACAACCGGGTAGAAATAGCTACTTAAAACGTTAAGAAAATTCTGCTTACGTTACTTCCTAAATGAACAAATTTCAACAATTTTCTTGAGTTATATAAACCACAAAGATATTTATGGTTTTCTTTGAAGGTATCACTGTGCAACACCCTCTAACAGTGATTAACAGTAAATTCTCCAAACCATTTTCGAATTTTCCCAACCGTTTTTCCTTGAAACCAAGACATATTACAGGCTTAAAAAAAGCTTTCAAAACTAAAATGTCTGGCATGGTTTATAGAGCCTATTCATTGCTCTGTGACGATTTACATTCACCTAAAATGTAATTAAATTGTAATAATGTAGTTGGGAGAATAAAGAAATCGATCAGATCAGTTTTTCGCAATTTAATCATTTATAATGGTACGTTTTCACTCAAAGTTTCAGATTATCTTTAATTGTATATCTAGCATTGAAGCTACTACCTAAGAACCATTTACTCTCATCTGAACAATGATTCCAAGTCCCTTTAATACGCTACCTTTCTTATAACATTTCAAACTTGTAATAATATGTTTGTAGTACTGTTAATTTAATAATAATAATAATAGTAGTAATAATAATAATAATAATAATACATTTATAGAGCGCAGAAGCTATCCAACATTTAATATAATATTCTACTGCGCTGCAAGTGCTCCTGATATGCTTAGATTTACAGTTAATTGAAAAGATGTGCTTTCAGTTTTTATTTAAAGATATTCACAGATGGTGATTTCCTGACTTCAAGTGGCAAGTTATTCCAGAGTTTGCTGTAGTTTATACTGATAGTGAGTAGTTAGTACTGTTTATCGACATATTTCATACTGTACGTAATATTAAATTCACCTTGAAATGGTAATGACATTATTATTGACCTTTTACGCCCCGAAAGGGTGTCTAAATAATCCTATTAAACTCAAGTCATGAAAATGAGCTATAAACTTTTGTTTATATGATTCATGGATACACCGATCAAACAATTGAAATTCAAATGAAATCCAAGTTCAAGCTTGCAATAAAAGAATAATGAAAAGTACTCTTTATGGAGGCACGTTCAATTTGTTGGTAGTACTTAGTAGGCGTAAGCCTTTTGATTTTGAGGAGGCGGGGCGTACACAGTATGGGGCTGGGTTACCACCTGAAGATGAGATACAAGAAAAACAAACGTTAACAATCAACAAAATAATAAAACCGGTCCCAATGGTAATTTATGCATTGTTAAAGGGAAAGTCACTCAGAGAAGTGGGGATTTCGGGTCATTCTGTCATTCAGATCATTGGTCAATTGTGAAGGGGACATCACAATTTCTGACCGTATTGCCAACTTTTCTCAAAGATTCCATGACATTTTCTTTTTAGTCGTCCGATTTTTGTCACACTCTAGCTGAATTGTTTCTCTAATTTTTCTGCTTCTACTAAAACCAATTTAATATGATGACAGACTTCCCCTTTAAGTTTGTTTTTGTGGTATATTCGGTGAAGATCATTTTTACCAAGCCTTTTGATATGTGCTTTTCATGGTCCTCCCACTTCAGATATCTTATTACATATGTTGTAAATCTGTAAATCTTGACGTGGAAATAAAATAAAATTAGTGTGACGTAAGCGGAATTTAAAAATAAAATCTTGCTCAGTTGTTGTTTAAAGTAGCCCTTTTGATGGAGGGTCACTATTGAGGTTCTTTGAATCTGACATGTTACAAATGTAAACACTTATACTATATAATGTATTTATATAGTGCATTTTCCATATGCATGTTCAAATGCGCTTTACAATTATGACAGAAGAGGCAAGTTATAAGATATTTTTTGAGGGTATTGAGAGATTGCTAGTTGCGAAGAAGTAGTGGTATGTTATTCGACAATTTGGTGGCAGAAGTTGGGAATGCTCTGTCTCCCAGTGTGGATATCATATTGGGAGACAGGTGCATGTTCAGCCTTGAGAGGAGGGAAAGAAGTAGCAGGATGGTTGCCTGATATCTACGAGTTTGGATAGGTAGGTAGGAACCGGACCATACATGAATATATATTATGTCCGGTTAATGTACCATGTTGGTAAAAAGATATATACGGTAAAATAATTAATGTATTTATATATAAAGATATAATATATATATATATAGGCGTGAAGAAAATGGTCTAGAAACGTGATACGTAGCTGTACTTTACAATTTTATTACGAGCTTTCGGCTTGTGAGGCCTTCTTCAGTAATCCACACTTGACCACACATCCCTTATTACACGTACACATATATTACATCAACTGAATAAACACACACACACAGCACCGACATCCCAACACACAAGCAAGGTAAAACAATTTGAAATTGCATAATCATTTCTAAGTTTATTGCGAAGTATTTCTCGTAATAATTTTTGCTATGTTCATGATGCTTGACTATGATTGAGTGATATTAAGTTTGTATGCCATGTATATTTGTTCTTACAATGTATTTGTTTGCACTTCAGAAACAGAAGAAGGCCTCACAATAAAATTGAAAGGTACAGCTACGTCTCACGTTTCTAGACCATTTTCTTCACGCCTACATTTTCCGGAACACCCGTTGTCATGTCAGAGTTGAGAATTCTTGCACTTGTATATATATATATATATGTGTGTGTGTGTGTACATAATTAAAAAAAGAGTTCTATTGTATATATGAAAGTATTTATATATAGTTATATATATATATATATATATATATATGAACAAATCACTTGATTAAATGTAATAAAAAGGACACGTAGCACTACAATGATTTTGCCAATGGCTGTTTTCTGGGTTTCCTTACCGATGTAGAGGGTGGAGGGGAGGAGGACGTACCAATGAAACAATAAATAGAACCAACGAGAGCACTGATAAACGCCATGATGCTAAGCAGAGCCAACACACACACTGGGACGGTGTGATACTGAAAATAAAAGACGACATAATCAAATAAAATAGGCTTTTTTCGTGAGACAATACAATAGACCATTCTCGTCATGTAATAAAATGTAGAGCATAAATCTTTGTTAAGTTGCCATGTAACAAATTATGTCATTCACCTGTTATGAATAATTGTAGTTCGATAGACATAATGTAAGTTGCATACAGTAATTGTGATAGGTAGGACAACAATTATGGATTGCCCTACATAACGACACGTAAGATATGTAATTCGCATTCTGACAATTGAAATCAATTATTCGTAACAGGTCAATGAATTAATTTGTAACAAGGCACTTTATAACAAAGGTCTAGGGGAATTAAATTTGATTCCTATTAGGGTCTCGTATTATATCTCCGTTAAGTTCATTGTTGCGAATTATTCCATTCACCTATTTAATACGAATCATTGTATTCCAGTTGCCAGAATGTAAATTGCGAACATTTTGTGCTGTAAAGTGTAATGCAAGCCATTATGTTTGTTTAGCTACAATAAGCCAGTTCATATTTGCAGTCTGAGCAGATAAAGGTCATTGCAGACCAATGATGGGCTATTATTTTCATTTGAATCGTTTCTAACTGGAAAAAGAAAAGGGAATCAACTCAGACAAGCAAGTAGAAAGTCCTTCGTCTGCAAATGTGTTTTCTGGTGATCACGGTTATAAATTTATTTATTTGGCACATTAACATCCTTTACGAAAAATCCTTTCATGTGACTTTCCTACAATGACAGTTTTTTTCACATCGGAAGAAAGATATGAAAGGCTCAAAACTTGTGTGCGTGTGTGTGTGTGTGTGTGTGTGCGCGTGTGTGTGTAGAAATCAATTTTCTCTTTAAGCAAAGATATGAAAGGCTCAAAACTTGTGTGCGTGTGTGTGTGTGTGTGTGCGCGTGTGTGTGTAGAAATCAATTTTCTCTTTAAGCATCATTTCTCTTACCAAACAAGCTTCTTGACAGTTCTCAAAAGAGCCAAATACCACAAAGATGTAAATTAGATAGCAGTAACATCCAAGTGCTCCAAGACTAGCAAATGCCGACAGGATGCAAGCCATCAAGAAAAACGCAATCTGAAATATTTACAAGAGAGAACAAATAGATCAATCGAACATGCCTTATATATATATTTCCCCCTCAATCGTTATACGTTCCCTCACAATGTCGCGCCTAACCCAGTCCATGACATATCACCCCGCCCCTGTTCACCAAGCTTATATTTAAAAATGTTTATCTATGTGCGCTGTAAATTTATAGCTATTTGACATAATCAGATGATAACAAACGCTTCTTAATGATTGAAATACAAAATTGCTTGCCCTATAATGTTAAAACAATATTATGTATTCAATCACTATTATTCTTATCAGGTTTTCTGGCCGAATTCATAGCTCTTTCATTACAATATTATTCAAAGGTTAATTCAAACGACAAAGTTTATCCATCATCTATAAACCATATAATTGATTTATAAAAAGAAACATAATATAATTACCATGCATGTGTATCTGCAGATTGTCCCAAGACCAAATAATGCAGTCAAAAGGTACAGCTGAAAAAGAGCAAATAAATTACCTTATGTCATGGGCGGCGGAGCGTCTAAAGTGTATGTGCAACAACTAAAAAGGCACTTTCTGGAAAGAGTGGCACCTACAAATTGTTATCCCAAAGCGAGATTATTTTTGTTTAGACATTGCTCTATACCCCTATATAAATTATACATTTTGTAATTAAAACATTATACGGAATGATCTTCAGCATTTCTTCTTTAAATGGTCCGAGATACTGCTTCAGCACCATACTTAGCAGTTGTGTGTTATTGTCTGAAGATTCATTTGCGAGCGAGCGAAGCGACCAAACAAAAATGTAAAGATATGTGAAGATGATTAGATCATTTTGAGATGAAATCCTCAATTCTCATGTGATTTTAAGCACAATCTCACAATGTAAGGACGGATGAGACCTTTGATATTTTGCTTAATGAGAAACTATAAATTCAAATAAGTGTAACGAGCAAATTTTGTTGAAAAATCGAGAAGAAAAAATGCTGTCAGTCGCTACAACAAATGTATTGTTTCGAGGGAGACGAGAGGTGGTAAAAGAACACATGTCTATTACATGAATGACAAGTTAATGTAACCGCTTTTGCTTTGAGTTTAAAACCATTAATTGCTTGAACCTTTATATACTTCAACAAATGGCAATTTATACACTTCGCATTGGCTATGAAGTTAAAAAAAAGGCACGGGGTTTAAAAGATATCAGTAAAAAGAAGCATCTTTTAGCAGTTGAGTTGAATATGTCATGTTAGTTTGAAGCTACAAACCTTTAGTGTAATATATTAAAATGTAGGGACAGTTGTGATAGTGTTGAAAACGAGCGCGAATATGTTTTAAAAGGGGCACAGTTTATTATTACAAAACTTGGGATTGTGCCCCCTTCCTCCCCTTCCTTCCTTTCGACAGGTTCATTCACAATAAAATCACATGACCAGAACTCAACTTTAGCTTTTTCTTTTAGAAATAACATATGTAGCTCTCAAACTTACACCACCTTGAGCGAAAGCGAAAATCTGGAAGAGCGAGATTGAAGATACTCCACGTGGGACGAAGTCAATGGCTCCACACACTGCCGAACCTATGGCGTATACAATCATAAACACCGCTGTACAGGTGGCGGCACCTGCACGGTTGTTTTCAGAATAGCCAGCCCGCTAATAAAAAGATTACAAAGAAACAAGTGTAGAGAGAAAAAATATAGTGTGTTTAGCCAGGTGTTACTTTATACCCCTTTTTATTAATGTCTGCAGTTGAAAAAATTACACTTCCTTGGGTTGTAAATGCATCGAATGCGACAGTTCTATAATCTCACCACTTTCTCTCCATCTCTCTCTCTCTCTCTGGCTCTCTGTCTCTCTGTATCTATGTGCGTGTGTGCCTCTCTCTCTCTCTCTCTCTCTCTCTGGTTCTCTGTCTCTCTGTATCTATGTGTGTGTGTGCCTCTCTCTCTCTTTCTCTCTGTCTCCGTGTCTCTCTTTGTCTGCCTGTCTCTTTCTCTCTCTTTCTCTCCCTGTCTCACTCTTCCCCTTTCTCTTCTTAATATTTTGCAATGAGATAGTTTTCATTAAAATTATCATAATGCATTCATTTCGATTGGGTTCCATTAACCCGCTGAGTAGTCATAGGCTTAATACAAGAACCACCTGGTTCCAGTAGGCAATGAGTTAAATAAAGAAGTATGAAGTACACCAGCATATTTTCTGATAATTACTGATAGGTTCCTGAGATATTATAGGCATTAGGGACATTTAGATTTGCACGACGGAGAACATGGACTGCCCTTTTAAGGCAATGTGACGTCACTGCCAGTGCCTTAAAAGGACGTCACATTGCCTTAAAGGGGCAGTCCACGTTCTCCGTTGTGAAAATCTAAAAATCCCTATTAACTAAGGATTTGGGCCTATTTACCCAGAGTACATAGCATCAGTATTTGCTGCTCATCCCGCATCCTGGTCCTATAATTATTATAACCCCAGCATTGCTAGGTTCAATTTCATACACCTGGTTCGAGAGAGACAAATAATGTTCAAGGCAACACACATTGTTCAAGGATGTAAGTAGCACGCAAGGTTCGAACCCGGGACCTACCGTACGAGAGGGCCTTTTCTAACGTCAAAACAATGTTCGGATGTATCATTATTATGAATCAATTATCATTTCCCAAGTTGTAAAAGAAATGGGAACATGTACTGTAGATTTAGGTTGGAATTCAAATTTCTCCTTGCGTATGTCTATATTTCTTTCTTTCTTTCTTCATGCATGTTCATAATTTCACAATTCATTTGAATTGACTTCACGTGAAAACGAATATACCAATGTTTTATCAAAGACAAGTTTTTATATATATAATACAGTTTAAAGAATGAACACACAAAGGTGAAGAAACGTAAGCAATAAAGCATAGAGCTTGAATCGGTACAAAACCTTTCAAATATATAACATATGACAAATAAAACTCTTTAACAGTTGTGAACTATTTACACTATTTATAAAGAACAAGAATAAAAAAAAAGAAAAGAGAAATATTGTTAAGTCTAGTAAAATTCTCATATAAATCATTAGATAATTAAATTTATGTTCGATATGATAAGAAGTGATATGTAGATTTATAAATATGTAAGTATTATATTACAACATTCTGTGAACTAATAAAACAACAGAGTGCTCTTTTAAAGGAGTTTGGTGATTTTATATTTTGAATATTGTTAGGTAAAGAATTCCATACATCTGGACCCCAATGTCTGATTAATTTATCGGCTAATATCAATGTATGAAAAACAAGAAAATTATTTTTTGTTCAATTTGTAGCTCCGCCACTAAGTGTATTCGATTTCTAAAAGTCCATAATAGATTTGGAATACCGCAATACATGATTAATAAAGTTGCATATTTCAGAAGAAATACTGTAATGTTTTGTTCAAACTTACCGAGGGTCTATTCTCCATTATAGTAACAGGCTGCATGTTCAGAAATCTGTGTATACCTTTAAAGTAGAAAGAAAGTGTAAAAAGCGAAATTAATAATTTTACAATATCGACTTATGGTAAAGGATGATATTGTCTCCTACTCTTACCGCAGGAAAATTCGAATTGGAATAGTCTTTAATGAAAGTATTATTCAATTCATTCATATTCGAAATATAACAATATATAACTGAGGAGCTAAGAGCCTAATATTCTTTGCACAGTGAAGGCTGGTGAGTTTCTGCAAGATTAGATCAATATCCAACCAGTTACCTGATACCAAACCTCACAGAATAGTGAGAATATACCAACCAATATGTCATGTAGGCCTATGTGCTGAATACTTAACATCGTCCAAACGCTTTCAGTTTTCTTTCATATAGTGCAATTGCATATTAAAACAGATGGCTACTTTATCTTTTAACACCTTTTTATACAGTCTTTCTTTTTCCAGAATCAAGTTTAATTGTCCATATGTAATGATACATAGATTTGTTTCCCATTGGTGTAAAGATACATCATAGACATGAACATTATATTATATGCTGAGAGTCAGAATGGTGCTTAAGGGCAAACCGAAACCTTGTGATAAGTTGATTTGAATGAAAGCAGACAATCAGATAATCAGAGGCAAACGTTTGAAGAAAGAGACAATTATGAATGTATACAAAATATGTGATCAATTGATCGACTTGCGTGTCGCCTGGTGAAGCGTGCTAGTATGGCAATGACGTAGTATCTAACATATACGAACAGAAATTCTATAGGAAATGCAATAGGGTATTGAATTCAGCCTTAAGTTAATTTTTGGGGGAAATAGTTGACATCGTGTTAAATAAACTGATATAAATAACAATACCGAAACTTCCTCCCGTCAACAAGAAGAGAGAGGGAGAGAAAGAGAGAGAGAGAGAGAGAGAGAGATCGACAGATAGAGCGATTGAGAGAGAAAAAAGGGAAAAAAGAAGAGGAACAAAAATCAGGAAAAAGAGAGAAAGAGAGGGTAGTCAGGAATCAGGAGCTGCAAAGGCGTGTTCTAATGTTTTTGAGCAAGAGAGTTGAAGATAAAGTTAGAGACAAGAAGAATACAAAGTAGAATGTGAGCCTTTGACAGAGAAAATAAAATAACAAAAGAAATCAAAAAGAGAGAGAGAGAGAGAGAGAGAGAATGCTAGACGGAGAGAGAAAAAGGAAGAATGAATTTGAATAGAACTACGTCACAAGTAGAAGTCTGAAAGGCAAACACGCAAACCGCACAATAGTTGCCAGGCGTCCCCATCGAATTTTTTACTTTCTCATAAATATCACAAATTCTCGATTGTGTTGGCTTGTTATTTTTGTCTATGCAACCATGACAAACATGTAGCTGCGCACTTGGCATTGAGGAATCAATCTATGCTTACACAAAAAGTTGTTCTTTGCATTAGATAAACAATATTTGATAACGTTAGCCTCCCCATTTCTCATAGACGCATCAAGGCTTGTTTAACTTGGTAAATTGCCGTCTGCCCGTCTACCATCCATGTTGTCTATTAATCATTTCGCCTACTTTTCTATTCAATTTTTTGATTTATTTTGCCAAGTAATAAAAAACATACAGGGTAAAACAAAAGCAGTATACAAAGTTTCACACAATCACAATTACCAACATAGATAAACACAGAAATACACAGAATCAATTTACAAACATGAATAATACAAAGGAAATTGCTAATGCTGGTAGCAGCCAGAAAGGAGGTGGTCCTTGTATGCGGCTGACCAATTAATCAAATATAAAAAGTTAAGCTGTAATAAAAAGTGAAACAAACAACAATTACATGTAAAATATAATGAATTTAACAACCGTTAAAATCTGTAGCTAATATCAATATACGTCCATCAAGTATTTTTTGTATTTACGTTTGAAAGTGTTAACAAATTTCAATTCACGTATTTTACGAGGTATAGTACTCCATAAGCAAGGTCCATTAAATATTACTGTACGTTTATATGAAGTTGTATGTACAAGTGGCAAGTGAAAATTCTCAGCATTTCTAGTACTATAGTGGTGTATATTACAATATAGTATAACAAGTTTTAAAAGTGATTTGGGAAGGATTTGTAAATAGCACTGGAACATAAATATTGCACATTGATAATTATACATATCAGTAAAATTCAATATTTTCATTTCTTTAAAAAGTGGATGTGAATGGGCAAGATAAGAAGTATGACAAATAGTACGAATTGCACGTTTTTGCAATAAAATCACTTTCTTAATATGGGTTTCATGTGCATTCCCCCATGCAAGTATTCCATAATACTAAAGTGGTAATATCAAACTGTTATATATCACCCTCAATATACATTTAGGAAATGATCTTAATTTATACATTACACCAATATTTTTCGATAATACATTACAAACAGCATTTATATGATCAGTCCATTTCAACTTATTATCAATGGTTATGCCAAGAAATTTAAGTGAAGAGACCTGTTTAATTTCTGTATTACACAAACGAATAATAATAGAATCAGTGTCACATTTTTTATTAGTAAAAATCATATAATGTGTCTTACTTATATTAATTGACAATTTATTTACAGAAAACCATGTGTTTATTAACTTAATTTCTCGATTAAATATATCTTTAAGTGATTGTATATTTTGATGGGATAAAAAAATGCTTGTATCGTCGGCAAATAAAATTGATTTTAAAATTCTCGACACACTAGGAAGATCATTGATATATAAAATGAACAATAATGGGCCTAATATAGATCCTTGAGGTACTCCACAATTGATTTCTTGGTAATTTGATTTTACATTTCTACTGCCCATTTTAAATTATTGTTCATTTAGTCTAATAACCAATTAGTCTAATGGCCAATTCTACTAACGCTCATTGCGTCTCACCTCCGTAAGGTCTATTATTCATTTCATGATTATATTTATTATTCATGATTATTTTACCCTCGGGTAGGACGTTAATATTGACGCCCCGTGTAAAAACGGTCACCACCTTTAATTGCCTGGTAAGAACATGGATATACTAAGACCCACTGCACTATCCTTTATAAGGGGAACCCGGGCGTGTTTTTTTTTAAAAGACTTTCATCTGTTTTAATGATACATATGACGCATCCAACAAAAATGAGGATTCCTAATCAATAGTACGAATTTCTATGTAAAGGTGATGAAGAATGAATCCGAGTGTGCATTTTACCGATATACTCACTTGTCTAAATTGCTCAATAAACCTTGACTTTCAAAGGTTATTACAACACACGAAATGGAATAAATTACGCCTAGTAAATACGCCATATTTACGGTTCAGCCAAATCAAATAATCATATTCAAACCTGTATATTAAGGCCACTCAATGTCAATGAAAACGGAAAAAGTGGTCATTGTAGACAGGTGACATTTACAGAGAGGTGGCCACAAAATACAGGTTAATTGCCTGTGTATATAAAGTAACTTTTTCATGATTGTGTTCACTACAAGAAAATAATGTAAGTGAAGTAATTTTGATATCCCATTCTTTAAATAAATTCCTATATATTGCACACATTATTTGGCTTATATACAGTTCTAGGCATTGGCTAGTCTGCAGTCACGTTCAGATTGTAAATTAACACCATACCACAATTCTTATAGCCTTAAAGATACTGTGTCCCTTTTGCAGCCAACCTCAAATTCTGTAGAACTTTGCAGGAATTATGAATATGTCATGTATGTCCTATCTGTGAGATTTAAACGTTAGCAGTGTCCTCATATTCAAATTATGCAAGGAAACCCGTTTACTTGCTAGACTTCACTGTCAGACACTATTGAGTGACTGGTTGGCTTTTTTCTTCTTTGTTAATAACATACATGAAAAGAGTTGTAAAGGGTACATGAGCATTTGTCTACATCAATAACCCACTTCTTGTGATAGCCAAAATTAAACTGATTAAATCTTTGCGCAGCATAAAACGTATGACCATTCGGTACAATTGTCTGAAAATCAAGACTATTACTTATTGGCTCTATAGCCCCTAAGTCGATTTTACAACTAATAGTCGTTATTTTCCCACTTGAAGACATTTTCAAGCCCCACCTTTTTTAGGGAAGTTCTAAATTAGTATTATCTTTCAAATGCAGTTGGAATTTAACTTTTTCATTTGTTTGGCCTGCAAATGGGACATAGTACCTTTAAGCAGAGCCTAGCTCCGTAATTCTCTGCCGGCTGTACGTGTCCGGAGAAGCTAAAGTGCAGGGCCTATGCAGTATGCCATAAACATAGTACATAGTACATGTACAGACACTTGCACGCAGTGACTGACAAAGGTTTGTGGCTGCAAAATGCACCGTGCCCATGAAGTTGGAATAATTTATTGTGCACATGTACCTCTTTTCGTGACAGAATTATGAGAATATGATTTATTATTTATTGATAAAGTTTATATCTTCTCAGAGCTCCATTAAACAATATTGATCGCTCTTTAGATTGAGCAATAAATGAAGCAGTGAGGAGATACAAACTTTATATGTCAATAATAAATCACGTTGTCACAACCATGCATTTCATCAAAAGAGTTTTTCAAAACTTAGTATTACACCAATAAGTCATTGTTTGATGGATTTGTCATAGTTTTCGTGTTTGGTAAATACAGTTAAATAAACACATATCAAAAGTCGCTGTTGAAGGATTTGCCACAGTTTTTCTGGTTACCTCCCACTAATTTCTACCAAGTTCACTGAAGTACGAGAATGCTCTAAGTACTTATATATCCAGACATTTCATATAAAACAAAAATTACAGAGTAATGATATGAATTATTATTACCTATTATTAAGTACTTTCACAAGATGTGGGTACCTGGCAGGAATTAATTCCTTGAAATGCTGGAGCGCTGTATAAACGGCAGCTAGGCTAAAGCGGGTGTAATGTTAATGCGCCTCGGAATAGATTTATCTAGATAGACGGCGCTATAGAAATGCCTATTACTATTATTATTATCATTATCATTCATCAAATTAATGACATATACA